TTGTTTAATCTCCTGTTGCAATTGGCAATACCATGTTGTAATGAATATATAATACTTATAATTATAATATCACCGCCATAATGGAGCGTGACTGTTCACTGATTGGCACGTTCCAACCAATCCTCGTGTTGCCCGGTCCTCTTCGTTTGGCGCAGTAACCGAGCTAATCTGAGATCATATGAAGTTCAGATTTGTATGGAAGACCGAAAGATCTCTGGCGGCGCACTAACGCCATTTCATTCATTTCCACGTACTACTTAATATACTGTATTGATTTATCCATTTAGCTCCTACGTTTTATATATTGAATGTAAATAGTACTAGTTTGGTGGCTGACTAATATACTTTCAGATTACTTGTAATCGATCCCGGTGTCGATCTGGTGAAGGCGAACTAAACAGTCTAAAGCTACCGGAACAGGAACACTTGGTCAATAAGCATCTTATGGAGAACGCTGTACCTGCTCTCGATGTTTAATTTCGTGGATTCGCTTTATCATTTCATAGATTTTCCTTAGAACATGGGTATTTTTTGTTGGTCATTTGCTATTTATATTCATACACTTGTTGCTTTTCATGCTGGTATTTCCGCTTAGGCGGCGATCGTTTTACTTACGTAGTCATTTACAACTAATATGATAAGTTCCAAACTTATTCACTTGTTTTTGTTAGGATATGTACGGTGAACTACCTAGATTGTTATTTCGAGACCCTTCGTCTTATACGATTTTTTCTGTGCCTGACGCATTCCGAATAGCGTTGAGAGGTATGTAGCAGCATGCCACCGTGCGACGTTTACTCCCTCCCAGTTCAGATTTCACCCCCGACCAGAGTGAATATCGGTCGAGGATTCCTCAACGGCACGTCGAGGATTTTCGCCTGATCAGTTACGTTCTCCCGCGCGGACATTCACACTCGCCATGCGCGAGCCGTCTGTGCTCTCCGCGCGTACGTTCACTCTCGGCACTACTCCTGCACAGTTCCTCGACCGTTATTCACCCTGCTCGTTTGTTACGCTCTTTGCATCGTTTGTACCGCGTTCCTGTGATATTCTTAGAATAGCGTTAAGAGAACATTTAGAGCCGTACGCTAAACTACTCCATCGAAAATTAAGGGTTTCCTTAAATAGGTGTCACCAGGTTTTTATTTTTGCATACTCACGCGAAACCCCTCCTTCTTGTTGTAGCTCGTTGTGGAAAAACAAATGAAGGGCTTCCTCGCTGTCCGAAGCCAGGGAGCACTGCATACCGTTCTTGCCCCGCAATATGATGAAGTACTTCAATCTGTGGTGCGGTGGCTTCTTGCTACTTACCTACCGTTGAGCTATTCCACACATCACTGTAATATCTCATCGAAATACCCCAGTGATCAGGCAGCACTGTATTGGATTTGTAACGTTACATAGTCGTTTGAATTTATGCAAAGCATGGGCAAAACAGCCAGCCTCCGATGTTAGAGGCAACACGATGTATCACCGGGTTCACTTCACCCTCACTACTTAATGAAACTGAAAGCACTGTGATAGCGCTCTAACTGAAATGTGTGAACCGCTGAGCTATATAATAGTGAAACATATGTATTACTGAATAAATGTTACCTTCAGGGCCTTAAATTTGTATTACATAACCGTTTCTTCTAAAGAAACAAGCTGTGGTCCATATGCAGGGGTGGCCAAAAAAGAGACACTTTGTCTATGGCGCACATCATCAAACTTTTCATCGCACGGAGTGCCGCTGTTGATGAAAGTTTTACGGCAAAATATCCCTTAGATGTTCTCCATAAGTAGAAGCAGGCCCTCTTCCACTGCCCTCACCGTCCTCAAAATATGACGTCATCTTCCATCACCGTTGAGCTCAAGAAGGCCTACCGTAATCGTTCCAGCCTGAAGCTGCTACGGAATTTCTTCAATGGTTAACTGATGAATTGCTTCCTAGGGACAGTAGCTCTGAATATGCAAGACCCTTCCGACCAGCGTTTCAGATAACGTCGTAAAGGTCCATGATCCGCCGAGGACCAGTTGAGCGTGCACAAGGTTCCCATGGCAAATTCTTGTGATGTCCTTGGTGCAGAAAGCTATTATAACGTTTATTGATAGATTGGGATGTGCTCTTTAATACTAAGTTGGGAGCAGTCGATTTGAGTTTAGCAAAGTGTGATTAATGCTGTCTGAAATGTGGAGTGAAGTGTCTCTTTTTTTGGCCACCCCTGTATATGAAAAACTTTCAAAAAATGAATGCCGCAAAACTCTCATAGAGCAGCAACCGTTCGGATAGCCGGAAGATAGACCGTTTAACAGTGCAAAGATGTGTATGTATTTGCATCAGTATCTAATGATTCGTTGTCCTCCAAAACCGCTTATTTCCACGTGTATTATTTGATGCAGGCATAGGTGCGCTACGCTATCATGGCCAATACAATACCGCATGTGCAAATGAAGTTTGATCGACCTTAACTCGTAGCAAAAGAAGCTACCGTACAACGAGACAAAAATATAATTTTTGTTCGGAATTGTTGGGCAGACTAAGTATTAGGTTGTTTGGAAAGTAATGCGGGTTTTCAGATGCCATGCGCTTCGAATGTTTTTTATACTGATATTTCCTTTGAGACCTGAAGCCCTATATATCATTGGCAAGCCTATTCTATCTTCTTTCCTTCAGTGTATTTGAATTTCATTTGCTTGTTATCTTGGGGTTTTTATAGATTTGAACTGAAGGTGTCAAGACAGTGGTTTGGGCAAGTTTTCTTCGATGTGCTGAAACTCTGACGTAGTGCTCATAGACCTGTCGAAATAACACTGAAGATGGGGCCAAGGAAGCACCAATAAAAGCGCAGCACAGCCTTGGCTCCAAAATTTTGGTTTAGAAGAATTCCATAGTGAAGTTGAGGGGAGTCATGCTTTTGCTGTTGACGACGGCCTTCTGAAGATTCCCGTAGAAGATGATTCTCAGACCAACTGTGCTATAGCAAGCAGTAGGACTAGAAGTAAGTATATTGAAATATTATGGTTCTTGAAGATTGGGGAGGTGAAAAGCTGAACAGCTTCCGCATGGGCTGACTGAAGCAGCAGCAATACCGTCTTCTCAAGGGTCGTTTCCACCTCGTTTACGTAACAAAACTACCAGTATCTCGGTATGCATTGTCATCTACGAAAATGGACTCTTTACGATTACAGGAAGCCATCTCTCTAATAGTTAGACCGCGATGAATCTTCAAAAACTTCTCCAAAGCCGAAATTGTAGAAGATTAAAGTTGAGCTGAACATTCGGCGGTCTTCCACGGGACTGATGCAACCCAGCTCTTGGAACCAGGTGAATTTGACACAACACCAATGTCTCTCCAGCATACCGATGAGATGCTCTAGAAACATCAACTTCGTCAACCGAGAGAAGTAAACAAAGCCTCCTTCATGGTGGCGCTCAGCCACATGTCCCATAAACGACCTCGCAAGTATTGAACAAACTGGCGTACGAAGCTTCGATCCACACGTCTTACTCACTGGACCTCTCCCTCACCAATGACCCCCTTTTCCAACCATGTCGACAACCTCTTTAGTAAAAACTCTCTTACTCTGTGGAAATTCCTGACGCCCGACGACATCATCGCCTCCAAAAGCACTGGTTTTGATGTGAGAAGGAAACATGAGTACGCGCCTTGTTAAGAAACATAGTGCTCTCCAATAGCTTTTGCTTCGTTTAAAAATGTTGAATCCTAGTAAAAAAATCGTTGACCTCTTTGAACATTAGATGGTAAATGCCTGCAATAAGCTGGGTGGTCTGAAACAAAAGGCTAAACCAACCGCTAGAAAAGTCGGGTGATATTAGGTTTGCATTTCCTGTGATTTATTTATTTTTTATTTATTTATTTATTTATTTATTTATTTATTTATTTATTTATTGCACAAAAGGTGCGCCACCAGAGCCAATAGTCGACAGAAAATCAAGGACTGGAACAAAGAATCCAATACTCAAAGAATAAAACGAAAAACATAAAACAGGGCGACCAGAGAGTAACACAACATTCAACCATGAGTTGAAGAAATAAGTTCAATACCGTATGTGTACGAGACAAGCTAAAGAACATGCGTCAAATGTTGTTGTAAATCAACCTGTAGAAGGCATATTCAGTAGTACCGAGACAGGCCAAGAGCTTTCTGATCCCAAATGTGTTTCTGAAAGAGTTCCATTCGATAGTTTAATAGGTCAGCATTTAATTTAGTCAGTAATGAGTAGACTTTGTATGTGATGCGTCCTCAACCCCTCTTTGCAGCCTGATCATCCACAGAAAGGATGGATCTCAACACCCTCAGAATACGCCACGTACCCAACCGGTCCACCATATGGTGAGATTGAATGAATGTTTTTTTTCGAATTTCACGATCTTTACTTCGTTCTAGAGCGCTAATTGGCTAAACGTGTTGTCTCTGCGCTCATCAACCCATTCTTCCACTTCAAATGGGAATCTTCGATCAGTTTCCCAGCAGTGGTACTAGGTCCAATCAATTACTAATCTAGAACCCACTATTTATTTCGACTGTGACATTAACAGTTTGTCACGGGATCTCTACGTGACACTTACACGCAGACTTCCACGGTGGAAGTCTGCGAGTACCTGCGGATATTTTTTCTTCTTGAAAGCCATATGTAATTGATTTTAGGAAGTTGTTCTAGACCAAATTAATCTTGCAGATCCGAAACAAGTATTTGAGTAGTGAGTAAAGTAAAGAGAGTTCGGAGTAGGGGACACCTAACGTCCAAAAATTTAGTTTTGTTAAGTAAAAAGTTTAAAATTCCACACCTATGCTCCAAGCTCGTCAAGGAGTGCTGTCCCTAGCCATCCTCCTAGAGTCATCAGAGGTAATATTATGTTGTTTGGAAAGAAGTGCGGGCATTTGACCACTATTTTCAAAGGGAGATATTTTCACTAGGATTCAACATTTAGACGTAGCAAAAGCTATTGGAAAGCACTATCTTTCTTAACAAGATGCGTACTCAATGTCCTTCCCACATCAAAATCAGCGCTTCTGGAGGCGATGATATCGTCGAGCGTCATTTTCACATCAGAATTGAAGCATTTCTTACTAAAAGATTGTCGAGATTGGTTGGAAAGGGGGATCTTGGTGAGGGAGAGGTCCAGTGAGTAGCACGTGTGGATCGAACTTCTCTCCGCACGAATGGCATCTGAAGGAATGTGATAGCGCGCGGCACGTACGGCACGTGGTCTTCGTGCACCTTGGATGCCTCAGCACAAGTTGAGAGTCATGACCAACTTTAAACGCCAAAACCCCCCAAAAACGAAGTATAACACATTAATCAAAATAAACTATTTTGAAATGTGCTTTCTAATGAATACTACCCCCATGCGCCCAGTGCCCTCATCCGCTCTCCAACCGTACCATACATACCTTGGTGAAGGAACAATAGCATATGTATTTGCAGCTATGCTGCTGACAAGAGTAAAAGATCCAACTAACCAAAGACT